ATTTAATTTCCCTGCCTCTTACAGATCACTTAAACAGGTTCATTTTTGCTTATGTAAAATATTTCCAGATGAGTAATTTATGAATGGGACCATTTAGATTATGTGAAGTTCTGAATCATGTGTTATAGTGTTAGCGGGGCTATGCTGAAGGCATAGTACCAATTTGTTCAGTAACATTCATAAAATGGAAAAATAGACATTAGAAGTCTTATACAACTCATGCCCTTTTTAAAAAATATATATTTTTTAGTTGTAGATGAACACATAATATCTTTATTTATTTTATTTTTATGTGGTGCTGAGGATCGAACCCAGTGCCTCACATATGCAAGGCAAGTGCTTTACCACTGAGCTACAGCTCCAGCCTTCAACTCATGCCCTTTTTATAAAATTATAAAATATTATTTCAGTTAGTATAAATGGAAAAACCAAACAGAATTACCCTTAAAAAATTTAGTTGCCACATAAAGTTGTCTTTTTAAAATAAAAAGATCAACCTTTGCAAATTTTATATAGTTCAACTTAAATCCTATTATTCCATATGCATGAATTCAGCAGTAATTAGAAAGTAAGTTTCATTAAAATAAGGGTTTTTGTTTTTTGTTCACTACTAAGGGTTTTTGTTTTTTGTTCACTACTATGCAGAAAGTAAGCACTTAGAAAATATTTAGCTGGTGGTACAGCTAGTGGTAAAACATGTCCTTACCATGTGCAGGGCCCTGGGTTTTAGTACCGGGTTCCCAGTACTGAAAAAGAAAGGAAGACAGTTAGGCACAGTGGCACACACCTGTAATCCCAGTGACTAGGGAAACTGAGTAAAAGGATCACTTTTTTTTAAAAAAAACATGCCTTTATTTATTTTTATGTGGCGGTAAGGATTGAACCCAGTGCCTCACATGTGTCAGGCAAGCCCTCTGACACTGAGCTACAGCCCCAGCCCAGGAGGATCACAAATTTGAGGTCAGTTGTGGCAACGTGGTAAGACCCTGTCTCAAAATAAAAAAGAGCTGGGGATGTAACTCACTGATGGAACACCAGGTGATTAATCCACTGGGTTAAAATTCTAGTACCACAAAATGAAGAAGAAAAAAAGGAAGAAAGAAAGTTATTGAATGAATGATTTAGAAAGTCAAGTAAATGTAAGAACTAACCTTCCCCCCAGTACCATGTGTCTTTGAACTTAGGTTTAGTGTGGTAATAAGAAAATTAATCTGGCATGCATGTTACTCTATTAAAATGATAAAAAGTTGAGTTTAAAAACTAAAAACAGGTCCACATAAAACTTGTATATGAATGTTCATAACAGCCCCAAAGAGAAACAACTCCCATTGCTATCAACTGATGAATGAATTAAAAAAGTGCTATATCCATGAATGGAATGTCATTCAGTTATAAAAGGAGTGAAGCATTGATGTGTGCTACATCATGGATGAAACTGGAGAACCATATGCTAAGTGAAAGTGGCCAGACACAAAGGTCTTATATTATATTACCCATGCATATAACATATCCAGAATAGGCAAATCAATAGAGACTGAAAGTGTACTAGTGGTTGACAGGAGCTGATGGGGAAGATGAGGAAATGGGGAGTGGCTACTCTTGGGTATTGGTTTCTTTTTTTTTAGTGATGAGAATGTTCTGTAACTAGAGCATGGTAGTGATGGGATATAAAATCTTGTGAATATATAAAAGCCACTGAATTGTATGTAGCTCTTTTTTTTTTTAGAGAGAGAGAGAGAGAGAGAGAATTCTTTTTTAATATTTATTTTATTTTTTTTTAGTTTTCCTCGGATACAACATCTTTGTTTGTATGTGGTGCTGAGGATAGAACCTGGGCCGAAAGCATGCCAGGCGAGCGCGCTACCGCTTGAGCCACATCCCCAGCCCTGTATGTAGCTCTTTATCTCTTTCTCATTCCTGGGAGTTGAACCCAGAGACACTTTACCACTGAGCCATATCCCCAGCCCTTTTCATTAGTTATTTTGAGAAAGGGTCTTACTAAATTACTGAAGCTGGCCTTGAATTTTCAATCTTCCTCCCTCAGTTTTCCTAGTTACTGAGATTATAGGAGTGCGCCACCACATCCAGATGCTGTAAACTTTAAAAGGGTGAACTTTTTGGTATGTAAAAAAAAAAAAAAAAAAAAAATATATATATATATATATATATATATATATATATACACACACACACACACACACACACGGCTAGGGGTTGAACCCATACTAAACAACACTACCACTCTGCTACACTCTAGCACCTGTATTTTTCTTTCTTTCTTTTTTTTTTTTTACTTTTTTTGTAGTTGTAGATTGACAGCATGCCTTTATTTTGCTTATTTTTATGTGGCGCTGAGGATCCAACCAGTGCCTCACATGTGTAAAGCAAGTGCTCTGCCACTGAGCTATAGCCCCAGCCCCTATATTTCTTTGAAAGTGAAAAAACTGCCAGGCATGGTGGTACACCCCTGTAATTCCAGTAACTGGGAAGTTTCAGGCAGGAGGATGGCAAGTTTGAGGCTAGCCTTGGCAATTTAGCAAAGCCCTAACAATTCAGGGAGACCCTGTCTCAAATTACAAAAAAAAAAAAAAATAAAAGGTTGGGGACACAGCTAGTAGTAGAGTACTTGCCAAGAACTCGCAAGTTCAATCCCCAGTACTATAACAACAAAAACATTATAAAACAATAGACATGTGCTTACCAATCTGAGAATATTAGGAAATGTTCCCTAGTTTAATTATAAACCAAGTTGGAATGTTTGGAGATTTCAATAATCTGACAACAAATATTAAGAGGATTAACCTGACTTCCCCAGGGTTAATATCAATTTAAGCTGCATCATTCAAAACACTACCCAGTAATATTGAAGTAATTGTAGCAATGACTTTGTGAAAAAAAGAAACCAATTAGATTAGTTATCTATGTAGGCTGTTAAAATATTTTGTATTTATATAATGCTCTTACTTCCTGAAGTATTGAATTGTGCCTTAAGCCTTAAGAGCTAATGTATGGGAGAGTCACAGTTTTAACCACTTAAAGACAGAGAAGTGGGTGGGACTGGAAAGAAATTTATTAGCAATGCTGACATTCCAGATTGGAAGACAAAAAGAAGGAGGATTTAAGAAATTGAAATTCTAGTAATCAATGCAGATAAATTGCAAGAACTAAAATTACTATAGACGGGAGCACAATTTTAAGAAAAATACAGCATACATATATATGTTAAAGTCTACATCGTTAAGTATAGATTATGACTAAGAAAAAGAACTTATCAAACAGAACTAAGATTTTATTATTATTTCAGCCAAAAAATATTGCAATAGTTTAAATCCCCTTTAGACCTTCAGTCACACCACAATTATATTCGGGGCGGGGGTGGGGAAGAGGCTCTTGACCTGGTGATATGTAAAATGTCATATGCCCTTTGTTCCTGTTTAATTGAGGATTGACTGACACCAATATATCATTTCAACCACTCTGAGTAATGTTCCTTTTTTAAATTCACAGGTTCAAGAATCGGTCCTAAATTAATGCAAAGTTTTCGAGAAAAATTCGTTCTTTCGCTGGAGCGACGCATTTGTCTACTGTTTTCCAACTAACGTTTAATTAGATTTTGGGAGCAGTTAAGTTCGAGGACTTGCCTTTCTGGTCAAAGGCACCCTAGGACCCTCTTTCAGTAGGAAAACAGTCGCCTCCAGACCTTACACCCCGTCTCCCCGACAAACACTCCACCGTCTATCAGCAGCAGGCGGAGCTCAGAGAACGCCCCCAAGTGTGCCAGGACTACTCCTTGCCTGGAACCCCTTCTCCGCCCCCACTCCTTCGGACTAAAACTCGACGCTGTTCCTTTAACTCCGCGTGCTGCAAGGGTGTGCGGAGACCGGCCTGGCCCTCCCGCCTCCTCCTCCACCGCTCCCTTCCCCCTCCCATCCGAGTTTCAGGTGAATGGGTCAAGGAGGGAGGAGGCCGGCCACACCACACCTTCTCGATAGCGTCCACCTCCCACTCCCTCCTTCCTCCGGCGGAGGAGCTGGAGTCCGGGGAAAGCCGACTTGAGCGCTGTGGAGCTAGCTGGCCAAGGACGCAGCAGGTGGGACTCGCGGGCTCAGGGGTGCGGGCCTCCGGCACACCCGCCTGGCGTAGGTGCGCATGCCCCGGGGCCGGACGACTTGGGTGAGGGGAAGGAGGAGGAAGGCTGAGTCCCCCGCTCGGTCTCTGGCTGCCTGCTGGCTGCCCACTTAGAGTCAGGTGTTCCCGCCAGGTGAGCGCTTCTCGGCTCCTGCGGCCCGATGTGGGTCGGGCCTGGCTGCGGTGAGTGGGTGAGAGTTGGGTGTGGCGCCAGGGGCTCGCGGTACTGCCGAGGGTCCCCGCGAGGGAGTCTCGGTGCCTTGGGCTGGTAGAGGAGGATCTGGGGAGGACGCTTGGCGCTGGTTTCGGTGGTGGTTTCGCCTTGGGCTGGGGCTCGCGGGAATCTGAGAGGCTCGGGTCGGCAAAGAAAGCGGCGCCACGGAACTTGGGAGACTGTTTCCCTGGACAAGGGGCGACTTGGAGCGGCAGGTCAGTCTTATTCGCCTGAAAGGCTTGAAGCTACCAGTGCCCAAGCAACTTTCCGCTTTTATGGAGACGGGAGATTCGCGAACTACGAGAATGCTGCGCTCTGCTCTGGGTGCTGCAGTTCTGTGAGGTCCTCAGAGGCGCTCGGCGCCCTGCTCCTCGAGGTCCTAAGCCCGGGAGCGGGAGTGAGTGGGCCACTTGATGACCCTGAGGGCTTAGATCCCTGGGACCTTACAATATTTCCGCCCCACTCCATCCCTTGGGGTATCCCGGGGAGAGCGGGTGGCTGGGTTTACTCTGAAATATTCCTGGAGTCAAGGTGTGGGTCACTCCGGCTGTTTGAATGCACTTAGTGGGAGTTGGGTGAACCCGTGTCGATTTAAGCCGGGGGGTGGGGCGGGGAGTTAATTTCGAGTGAGGCTGGACTTCGAGGGAAGCTACTCGAGCTTCAGATTCTCACCAGTGACCAAAAGGCTGCTGCCAGGTGGGCAGATCTGCCCCGGGGCAGTACCTGCTGGACAAGCACTCGCTGGGCCGGCAGCTCCTGAGTTCCGCAAGGCGCACGGTCGCGGCGACCCGAAGCCGGCCGCGGACTTTCGAGACCTCCTTAGGCGGGGCCAGCACCGCGCTCGGCCAGTGACATGTTGTCTTCGTTGGAGGAAGTATGCTGAGAGCAAGTGGGTAGGGGGGCCAAAATGGCCTCTACATCTTGACTCTGGGCGCAAAACCCTGAGTCCCTGAGCCCGAGGAGAAGCCGCGGGATCCGCAGGCCAGCCCAGGACCCACTGGGCGCACTGCCCACCTGGGGAATTATCTAGGGCGGGGAGAAGGCAACCTTCCAGGCAGGTTAATGTGTGGCCCTCACGCACAACAGGTGTATTATTGGGATCCCTGGAAAAGAGAAATACTTCCAGTAAGGACTGCTTGTAATCCTGCTGAAGTTGAAAGCTAGTTTTTTTTTCTAGACAGAAGTAGGTTTCTCAAACTACATTTCTCCAAGTGTAAAACAGTAGTTCCTTCGTGTGGTACTTAGGAATCTTTATTTTCTCCCTCTGATGTTTTAAAATAGGCATTTAAATAGTGGAGCCACACGAATAGGTTTTTCTTCAAGAAAGTGGCGCTTTTTTGTGGGGGGGGCGGGTGTTTCGCATTTACTTAATTAGGTGTTTCTTTTGTTAGGCGAAGGAGAGGATAGCATGGTAGGTGACGTGGGTTCTTTACCTTAAGGTAGGTTTCGGGCTAATTAGGGAAGAGGTAGTGCCTCTTTGTGAGTCTGTACTAAAGGCAGATCCCATTAGAACTGCATTTTAAAGGAGGTAAACTTTTGTAGAGGAAACATGTTACAAATGGGCTGCTTTGAAAACTGCTTCAGCTAATCAGGGAAGGTATTTTTAGAATTGACTACTGTTGACTAGTCCATCCCTATGGCCTGGTTTAAGTTTTCTGCATCCTGTTTCATGTAAAAGTAAATTTCTTATACTTATAAAGATAATGTTGGAATTACTGCATTTTAGTAGGATAAAATATTACTTTTAGGGCTGGGTGTATAGCTCAGTGGTAGAGTGTTTTCCCCAGCATACATGAGCCTTGGGTTAGATTCCCAGCAAGAGGTCCAGGGAGGGAAGAGTTGTTTTTAACCATATAAAGGATATCTTTGACCTTTCCAGGGACCTCCCAGAGGGATATCTTTTTCCAGTTGCACTTTAAGGCTTACTTGATTAGAATATTTAGAACATTATTTCCTTCCAAATAACTGTTTTTTGTTTGTTTGTTTTTTGGGTAAGGGGATTGAACTCAACCACTGAGCCACACCACCAGCCCTATTTTGTATTTTATTTAGAGACAGTGCCTCACTTTTGCTGAGGCTGGCTTTGAACTCTCAATCTTTATGTCTCAGCCTCCCCAACCTCTGGGGAAATTACTGTTAATGGAAGTATTAGAGTAAAAAAAAACTATGCAGGTTTTTGTTGTAACTTTGTTTCAGACTCTGGGCTTCCAGCTGTTACTAATACTACTACTTTTTTTTTGGTACTTAACCACTGAACCACATCCCAGCTCTATTTATTTATTGTTTTAATACTTTTATTGCTTGATTACATATACACATTTATGCTATCAGGGCAGATGCTGTGGATGACTCATATTTCTAATTTAGGGGAAGAACCTGCTTGGTCTTATAATATCGAGCCAATTCGTGAATTTGGCTCTATCAGAATCAGGTGGAATTTAGCATCCTTATTCTTTCTATTCCTCTCAAGATGCTTTTGAACAGCAACTGCTTTCTTAATTACATGGTAGAGATCCTCAGGAACATCAGGAGCAAGTCCTTTGGATTTAATGATTCTCAAAGATTTTATTGCCAGTCACAAAACGTACTCGTGTAACACCATGTTTGTGAGTCCCTCCATATCTCGTCGATTTATGGGGGAGTCAGACCCTTCTTGGACAGTTTGTAAATCTGCTCCTTCACATCATTAGATGGCAATTTCAATCAGGTGGGGATGCTGGGGTGAAAGGGCAGAGCTGACTGGAACAGCATGCATGCATGCTGGGAGCATCCTGGAGCCTACATACTACCCATGATGGCAGCAGTCAGGCAGCAAAAAAACTAATTTTTTATTTTGAGACAGGGTTTCACTAAGTTGTTTAGGGCCTTCCTAAATTACTGTGGCTGGCTTTGAACTTTTTAAGAGAGAGAGAGAGAATTTTTTAATATTTATTTTTTTAGTTTTCGGGGGACACAACATCCTTGTTTGTATGTGGTGCTGAGGATCGAACCTGGGCCGCACGCGTGCCAGGCGAGCACGCTACCGCTTGAGCCACATCCCCAGCCCTGGCTTTGAACTCTTGATCCTACTGCCTCAGCCTGCCAAGCTACTTGGATTAGTACTTCTACCATTGACGGTGGTGCCAATCACTTAGGGATTTTACTGAAGTACATATTCTGATTAATAGGTTGGAATGGGTACTGGGATTCTGCTTTGCTCCCAGGTGGTACCCATCCTGTTCTGTGTCCTTTTACCCCCTTTCTTTGCTCAGAAAGTAAGCACTTAACTACTTTAAATGACCTGAATTTGATAAAATGTATTTATTAGGTTATTAGATTTATGAAGGAAGAATTTCAAGGCATTCATTGGTGGGTTGAAATTTCTGGACTATAGATTTTATTAATCAAATTTTGACTGAGCACTTCTTTGTGCTAGAAATTAGTCCTAGAGATCAGGGATAAGTGATGGTCAAGACAGATATGCGTCTCACAAGCATTTGTGAGACGCATATCTGTCTCACCTTGTCTTCCAGGGAGGTGGAGATGGTGGCAGTAGAGAGAAAGAGGCAGACAGAGACAGGGAGGGAGAGAATGAATAATGGTTTTAGGTGTGGGGGGAAATTTGGGCTGAATATAAAGCAAGTTTGGTGTGATGGAGTGAGTGACCTGGACAGCATTTCTGAGGTTACATTTGAACTGAGACTTGAATATGAGAGCTGTCTAGACAGGAACTTGCAAGATCAATGCCCTCCTCGGATTGACTCCTTCATTCTAGGCAGAGTCTTAAAATATGTGGGTTTTTTTAAAGAATCACCTTGGAAACCTTATTAAAAACGCAATTCTGACACAAAGCTAGGCCATTTCAAAATTTCAAAATCAGCCAGATTTCACATTTTTTAAAAAATATTTATTTTTAGTTTTAGGTGGACACAATATTTTATTTTTACGTGATGCCAAAGATCGAACCCAGTGCCTCACACATGCTAGGCGAGCGCACTACTTGAGCCACATCCCCAGCCCAGATTTCACATTTTTTAAAAGACAATGTGTTAATGATGTCCTATAATCCAGATAGAATCATTTAACATCAGGTACAATTTAAACTTTTTTTTTTTGTACTGAGAATTGAACTCAGAGGTATTTTACCACTGAGCTACAGTTCTTTCCCAGTTCCTCCCTCCTAACCCCAGACACAGGGTCTCCCTGAGTTGCTGAGGCTTTTGCTAAATTGTTGAGACTGGCTTAGCCTCCTAAGTCACTGGGATTACCGGTGTGTGCCCTGCCCAATTTAAACTTTTTTATTTATTTATATGCGATGCTGAGAATTGAACCCATTACCCTGATCTTTAGATAGTTTTCTTTAAAAGAATAATTTGAGGGCATAGCATTTTGAGACTACCTTCCTCCCCCGCAAGTGGCTCACTTTATCACTAAACTACATCCCCAGCCATTTTTTAAATTTTTGTTTTGAGACAGGGTCTCAAAAAATTGCCCAATTTGGCCTTAAACTTGTGATTCATCCTCCTGAGTAGTTTGGGATTACAGGTGCACCACTGCACCCAGCTCTTCTCTTGCTTTTTTTTTTTTTTTTGTTTTTTAGTTTTAGATGGACATAATACCTTTAATTAATTTTTGAACTTTTTTTTTAGACATCGATGGACCTTTATTTTATTCATTTATTTATATGTGGTGCTGAGAATGGAATCCAGTGCCTCATACATGTAAGGCAAGTGCTCTACCACTGAGCCACAGCCTCAGCCCTCTTGGCTTGCTTTTTTGCCCCTGCCTCTAAAATAGCTTTCTCATTTTGTCTCTTTCACAATCTAGACACATTAGTAGAGGTGATCAGTGGGCAAGTCCAGTGGCCTTTTCACTTGTTTTATTTTTTCCTTCACTCAATACATACCTAGTGTTGCTAGGCTGGGCTTCTTCTCCTTTAGCTGTTTCTGTAAACCACAGTTGCAGACTTTGCCTTGTAAGAGACACCCCGCCTCAACCCAGTTTAGTCTCCAAAAAATAACACAAAATAACATGTTTTGCATACGTGGCATGAATGTAAATCATTATTTGTTATTCTTGGAAGAGGGATAGAGTCAGGGTGAAGGAGAGACTTCCTAACATTGAAAAGAAATCTGCCCCTGTGGTTTTGGCTTGTTTTTGTTTTTAACCATTTCTAGAACTACAAAGACAGCTCTTAAGATATTTCAGGGCTGCCAGAGTGATTCTTCTAATGTCAAGTTCTCCAGGCCAAACATTTCCTGTTTTTCTAATCATTTCCAATCAGACATGTTTTATTTTTTAAAATTATATATTTTTAAAAGATTCTTAACAATCTTAGTTACCCTCCTGGAGAGTTACCTAGTTTACAACTTGAACGGATTTCAAATTTTGTTTGTTCTATTTAATAACTGTAGCATTCCTAGATCTGAGCATTATTTCTGTGAGTGCTCCTAGAGTTCAGGATAATTTTGTAACTTTTGTTGTAGTGTTCACTAAGGAAATGCACTTTTCAAATGAACATCTGTTAAGCCAGGTCCCCTTTATCCTGCATTGTAGTCTTGATTTTTTTGAATTGAGTTTGCTTTGTTTTTGATGCTGGGGATGGAACTCAGGACCTTACATGTCCTAGACAAGCACTGTATCACTGAGCTACACTCCCAACACTGTTTTTGGTGGCATTGGGAATCAAACCCTGCACATGTTAGCAAGCACTCTGCCATTGAACTATAACCCCAGCCCTGAATTTCCCTTTTTGTATTAGTATTCATGCCTCCAAATACCTACTGCCTAAACTCTTAAGTTTCTCACCTGAAGAATAACTGCCTTACTATGAATGCATTTGCTCCTTTTCTTTAATACCTTATCTTACTTATCGTAGCCCAATGGTCAGGATTATGACCCACTTTGACAGAGGAGGTAGGTCCCTGAAGCTCAAAGAAGATAAGGAACTTGTTTCAGGTTGTGAACCAGTAAATAGGGGCTGTTAAAACTACTAAGTTTGCTACAACTCTGACTTTATGGAGATGTTGCTCAATGTTGATCGGTCCTAATCAGTGGGTTAGTTATTCCTGTTCAGTGTTTGATCAACTGCAAATCTGAATAAGCTTGTCTGGCTGACCTTGTCTGTGGTCACCACTATAGACCTCCCTCCAGGTAAGCATAAATGGCCCATTCTTTTGTACTAAGTAGATGCTATTATTTAGCCCCTTGGGAATCTGCCCAATACACAAGCATGTATTCAAGTTTCCCAGGATTCTTTCTCTCTCTGAGTTTCCTTCATCTACTAGTCTGGTAACTTCCAAAAAAGAAACAAAGGTGTGGCATGACTTGTTTTTAATGAGCTTTCTAAAATTATTTGTTTCACAACCTAAAATCTCTGTTATTAGAGGAGACATGACAACTAAACTCTGAATCCAGGAAATAGCAGTTTGAAAAGAAATTTTGTTTGAATTTCTGACAACTTCAGCTTAATCTGAATTAATTTAGAATTTTCAAAATCTACCTACCACTGAGCCTGGAATTTGGGGGATAGTCTTGAATGACTGAATTGTAGGTATAGAAGGGATAAGATTCATCTAAGGTCAATATTTACTATTTTACATTCAGCTTCTAAAATAGGCTACCATATTTAATGTTTAAATTCAGTTTTTTTTTTTTTTTTTTTTTTTTTTTTTTAAATATTTATTTATTTTTTTAGTTCTCGGTGGACACAACATCTTTGTTTGTATGTGGTGCTGAGGATCGAACCCGGGCCGCACGCATGACAGGCGAGCGCGCTACCGCTTGAGCCACATCCCCAGCCCTAAATTCAGTTTTTTTAATAAGGTCCTTTTTCTGAACATTAATTGGGAAGAAAATCTGGACTTTTACCTTTCATAGCACCATAATATTTTGGCCTAATACTCAATTATATGTGTATGTTCACCATTAGAATATGAAGAAATTTATTTGGGTGTTACATATGGTTTGTATATTTTTCTATATGTTGTACTTCAGGAAAGTGGAGTTGTTTTTTGTTTTTGATATTGGGAATTAAATCCAGGATATGGCTCTGTGGTTAAACACCCCTGGGTTTTAAATTGTGATCCTCCTGCCTCATCTTCCCAAATTGCTGAGATTATAGGTGTGCAGCACCATACCCTGCTATTGTTATGGATTCTAAAGAACAGTGCTTAAAGAGTTTGAATTGATTTGTTCTTCCCAGTAAAGTCATGTACAATTGCACATACTTTATTTGAAAAGGAAAAAATATTACACTTTAATATACTCAGAGTATAGATCTTGCTCAAGTGTCATTTGAGGATAATGCCTTAGAAATTCTGTTCATTTGATCTGATACTTATTATTTTCAATCTTGAAAGCACAAGAAGCTTTGCAGGTAAAAATGTCCATGGTCCAATCTGACTCATTAAACATTCAACAAATATTTGTATGAATGTGTTAGTCATGTTTTAATCAGTGAAATAGGCAAAAATTCCTGCTCATGGAATTTACCTTCTGGTGGATCTCAGAATTCCCTATTCCATAATTACTGGTGTCCCCTGGAAATAACTTTTTTTTTGAACCTGGGATTGAACCCAGGGATGTTTAAGCACAGAGCTATATCCTCAGTCCTCCCTGTCCTTTTTAAAATGTTTTATTTAGAGACAGGGTCTCACTAAGTTTCTTAGGGCCTCATTAAGTTGCTGAGGCTGGCTTTGAACTTGCAATCCTCCTGCCTCAGCCTCCCAAAATCACTGGGATTACAGGTCTGAGTCACCGTGTCCTGCCTCCTGGAAATAATTTATTGCTGCTATATTAAGGAATATAACTTACTGCTTATACCTGAGAGGCATGAAGTGCTATAGCTAATGTGCTGAATACCTTCTGGGGTTTCCAGCACTGGATTTTCTAAAAGAAACCTCAAGCTTTTTGGGTTTGGGGATTGTGTGTTTACCTCATCACATTGAGGTAAGAGTAGCTAGTCTTTCCAGGACAGCTCTTAGTGCCCATGGATTCACCTGGGACCTAGGCAGAAGATATCTAGTCTTACTGCCTCATGGACATACTACCAATTGTCTACACCACCCAAAAGTTAGCATATCACAAATGGAACTCATTTTTAAATGCTGTGGTAGTGGAAAGCTCATGAGATCTTGTGGGTTCAACTCACATCTAAATGACTCACTGCCTTCCTCTGGACTTTAGCATAATTACTTCACATCTCTTTCTGACCTTTTCTGCATCTATATGTGAAGTGGCTAGTCAGGGTTGTTTTAAGGGTGAAATGAGAAATTTATGTAGAGTGCCTGGCACATTGCTACTTATGTGATATGTTTGTTTTCTTCCTCTCTTAGCTCCTAAGTCCTTCGTTACCTTTCCTGGGTTTGCTATAGCTGGTCCAGGTGCTCTTTTTAACTCTGGCCTCTTTGTTCTAACTTATTCATATCTCCTCTGCAGAGAATCTTGAATGGGCTCCCTATTTCCTACTTGAATGAGGTGACAAACTCCTATCAGACTTTGACTCCTTTTTTTACCATAGCCTTATTTTAAGAGGTTAATCATGCTAACATGTCCCCACCTGGTTTCTTCTCTTCTACAAAACCATCCACAGTCATGTCAGTATCTACCCAGACTTGGTGTCCTTCCTTCTTTCCAGGATCCCATCTTCTGGATCTTTAAGTATTTTATATTTATACCTGTACTGTATCTTATCATGTATTTCAGCCTTGAATAATTCCTGAAGTGATGACTATTTTGTGTGTGTGACTTAAGGAGAACGGTGTCCCAAACTTAACTTTCACAGTCTTCTCTGTATATTTAGGCACTTAATAAATATGTGTTGATTGAATGAAATTCCTTGCAGATGTTTAGGGATTTGTGCTCTGAGGAGTTTTAGAACAATCTTTCTGCTTTTTTCTTAGAAAAAGACCTTTTTTTTTTAATGGTACTGGGGGCTGAATCCAGGGGTGCTCTATCACTGAGCCACATGCGCAGCCCATTTTATTTAATTTTATTTTTTATATTTTGAGACAGGGTCTGGCTAAGTTGCTTAGGGCCTTGCTAAATTGCTAAGGCTGATCTTGAACTTGAGATTCTCTTGCCTTAACCTGAGTTGCTGGGATTATAGGCATGCACCACTACACCCAACAAGATGGGGTCTTGATAAATTGATCAGGCTGGCCTCATGCTTTTGAATGGCTGAGATTACAGGCCTGCACTGCCACACCCAGCTAAAGGCAAACTTTTTAATCAATTAGATTATGCTTTAGTTTACACTGAGGGGCTAGTATGTGCTAGACTATGTGTCCTTTCATATGCATTTGTTTTAATAAGCTTTCAAAAGTAATATGAAATAATTTACTTTTGAGAAATTTTCTTTACAGTTCCTTGTTCTTTGAGGTGACTACTTTAAAAATATTTTCACTTATGCTATAAAAGGCTAATTTATGAAATTTTCATTACTGTAATAGAACTTGGGATTTAAGGATGCTTGTGTCCTTTGGATGTGCAGAGCATAATGCTATGAGGAATACAGGGCAAATAGTTCTTATACTCAGTGATTACATAGTGTAAAAGTGGCAGTGTAGCATGAATGGTTGCTTGGGGTTGGAGTCAGGTTTTCTTCATGATGCAGGAAAACTAACCTCAATAGTAATGACATTGCCCTATTGTCATTGTTTAGATTGGTTCATCTTGGGAGCTACAGGGAATTGCTCATCCTAAAAGCAGGTGACCAGTGACATCAGTCATGTCATCCAGGCCTTTTGAAAGTCCGCCTCCTTATAGACCTGATGAATTGTAAGTAAATCATTTTTTAGATTTTTCGTTTTAGTAAGGTCTGACACATGTGAAAAAAAAATGTGTATGTTGAAACTTTGATCTATTAAATGTTCTTTTTTTTTTTTTGATACAGGGGATTGAATCCAGGGGTACTTAACCGCTGAGCCACATCCCCAGCCCTTTTTATTTTTCATTTTGAGACAAGGTCTCAGTAAGTTGCTTAGGGCCTTGCTAAGTTGCTGAGGCTAGCTTTGAATTTATGATGCTCCTCCCTCAGCCTTCTGAGTCACTGGGATTACTGGGAATGCATGACACGTGGATATTAAATGTTCTTAAAAATTAAACAATATGTGCACTTGTATTAAACTATAGGGCTGGGATTGTGGCTCAGAGGGAGAGCGTTTGCCACACATACTTGAGGCACTGGGTTCAATCCTCAGCACCACATTAAAAAAAAATAAAGATATTGTGTCTACCTATAACTAAAAATAAATAAATAAATAAATAAACTGTACCAGGAACACCGAGTGAAAAGTATATTTCTCTTTTAATCTTAAGTTCTAGCATGACAGCTTTTCTCTCCAGAAGCAACTACTGTCACCCATTTTTTCTTCCTCCTCAATTCTTTTTCTTTCTTTCTTTCTTTTTTTTTTTTTTTTTTGGGTGCTGGGGATTGAACCCAGGGGTGCTCTATCACTGAATTTTTAAATTTTGAGAAAAGAGTTTTGCTAAGTTGCCCTTGATGGCCTCAAACTTGTGATCCTCCTGCTTTAGCCTTCTCAGTAGCTGCAATTACAGATGTGTATCACCACACCTGGCTCCTAACACCCATTTCTAATGTTTGCCTCAGGATTGTCTAGGTTGATATTTGTGTGCATATTTATTCCTTTTTGTTTTTTACACATGATATGAAACTTCAATATTAACAACTATTTAAATGGCTATTGGGAACATATTGCAATTTTTAAAAATAACAGATTTATTGAGATATAACTCATGCACCATAGAATTTGCCAATTTAGAATAGACAGCTCACTGGTTTTTAGTATATTCATAAACTTAAACAACAATCACCACAATTAATTTTAGAACATTTTATCATCTTCCAAACCTTCCTGTTAGCTCACACTTCCCGTACACCAGTCCTATGCAACCACCACCTACTTTTTGTCTCTGTATTTGTCTACTCTGGATATTTCATATAAATGGAATCATATGATAAGTGACCTCTTATAACTGGCTTCCTCACTTAGCATAATGTTTTCCATATTGTGAACTTTAAAAATGATTCTTGCCTTTATATAAAACAAGTCAATTTGAGGGTTCTTGGGTCCTTGGTCATTTGGGGATTTATCAGTGGATTATATTTTAAATTTGACATCAAACGTGGATAGGAATTTCTTTTTAAAAGTAGTTGTAGCTTTAATTCTGATAACAGGAAAAAACACATTTCTCTTGTACTCTTACAACACAATCATTAGAGAATGCCTGTATGACATCTGGTCATCAAAATGTGTGGGGATTTTTCCTCACTAGCATCAGCTGTAGGCACCAGCTGGGTGTTCTCCAATTCAGCTCTGAACCTATCTACCTGGAGATAGCATAGATTACAGATTGAGGATACAGTCCTAGTATACTGCCTCCCACTTCTGATGTGTCTTAGGCACACTTAATGGCCTATGGTCTGACTGACCTGCTATCAATTGGGGTTCCCACAACCTCCTCCTTGGGTTTGATTAATTTACTTGAGTGACTCACAGAACTCGGGGAAACCCTTACTCTTACTAGTGAACACCAGATAAACAGATACATAAGGTGAATTATGTATGCTCAATGTCTTACTCTCTTGACACAATGAACTGTGGAATGAGAGTATCCTGTTCAGTTTTTTGACTCCATTGCCCAGAACAGTGCCCAGCACAAGTCAGCCTGACAGCTCCAGTAAACAGTTGTTAACTGAATGAAAGAATGAATGTGTTTTCTTTTTTCTTTCTTTCTTTTTTTTTTTAGAGAGAGAGAGAGAGAGAGGGGAGAGAGAGAGAGAGAATTTTTTAATATTTATTTTATTTTTTGGCAGACACAACATCTTTGTTTGTATGTGGTGCTGAGGATCGAACCCAGGCCGCACACATGCCAGGCGAGCGTGCTACCGCTTGAGCCACATCCCCAGCCCCTGAATCTGTTTTCTTAACTAGGAGAATGAGGCTGTCAGGAACTACCCAGAATAGGCCAGTGAGTTGTTATGTTCAATCGCACCTGTCCTGTGCCACACAGGCAAAAAGGTTGATATCATTGTTCTAAAAGTGTCTGGGTCTCAACCCTAGGAATTACAATTTATGGTATGTACCATCTGAGATTTTTTTCCCCCCTGCAGTGCTGGGTATTGAACTCAGTGCCTTGAACTTGCTAGGCAAGTGCTCTAGTATATGAGAATGAGAACAAAAATGATTATGTTACATCCCCTGCCCATCATCTGAGAGTTTTACATTTTCTAGGTGATCCTAAGATGGAGCAAATTTTGAGATCCTCTGCTCTGTAGTATATACAGAGTAGTCATTCTCCAGGTATGTTTCTAAGGCTGGTAACATCTGTATCAGCTGGAAACTTGTTTTATCTCAGAACTGCAGAATTAGTAACTCAAGCTAGAACCAAGAATCTTTTAATTGGGCCTGCGGTTGTAGCTCAGAGTGCTTGCATAGCATGTATGAAGCACTAGGTTCGATCCTCAGCACCACATCAAAATAAATAAATAAAGATATTGTGTTCAACTACAACTGGAAAAAAAAATCTTTTAACAATCCTTTTCAGCTGATTCAGTGGGCCATAATAATAGTTTCATTTACCAATGGTTTGTTTAAATTATTCCAAGTGCTTTGTATATTCTTTGTGCTTACACTAAAAAGTGCTAACATAAAGTTCTTTTCATATGTATTTCAGCAAACCGAATCATTATGCACCAAGCAATGACATATATGGTGGAGAAATGCATGTTCGGCCAATGCTCTCTCAGCCTGCATATTCTTTTTACCCAGAAGATGAAATTCTTCACTTCTACAAATGGACATCTCCTCCAGGAGTGATTCGTATTCTGTCTATGCTCATTATTGTGATGTGTATTGCTATATTTGCCTGTGTTGCCTCCACACTTGCCTGGGACAGAGGCTATGGAACTGGCTTACTAGGAGGTGGTTTTGGCTACCCTTATGGAGGAAGTAGCTTTGGTGGCTATGGAGGCAGCTATGGCTATGGTTATGGCTACGGTTATGGCTATGGAGGAGGCTATACGGATCCAAGAGCGGCAAAGGGCTTCCTGTTGGCCATGGCTGCCTTTTGTTTCATTGCCTCATTGGCAATATTTGTTACCAGTGTTATAAGATCTGAAATATCCAGAACAAGAGGATATTACTTGACTGTGATAATAGTGAGTGCTATCCTAGGTATCCTGGTGTTTATTGCCACAATTGTCTATATAATGGGAGTCAACCCAACTGCCCAGGCTTCTGGATCTTTATATAGTTCACAAATATATGCCCTCTGCAACCAGTTCTATACACCTGCAGTTTCTGGAGTCTATGTGGATCAGTATTTGTATCACTACTGTGTGGTGGATCCCCAGGAGGTATGAATAATGTTTTGTTTGTCCCTATCCACTTGGGTCAAAGGGTTTCAACTTGAAATATGTAATAGAGTCACTCTGGAAATGTTTTAAAAATATTGGCTTTGGTCAGATGTGGTAGTGCATGCCTGTAATCCCAGCAACTTTGGAGACTGAGGCAGGAGGATCACAAATTGGAGGCCAGCCATAGCAACTTAGTGAGACCCTCAGCAGCTTAGCAAGACCTTGTCTCAAAATGAAAAACGAAAAGGATTGGGGATGTAGCTCAGTGGTAAAGCGACCCTGAGTTCAATCCCCAGTAACCTGCCCTTCCCTGCCACCAAAACAATTGATGCCAAGGCTCTTCTTCTAATTATATCAGAATGTGGTGGAAACACTGGGTGTCATTATTAATATATAATTAAGATACTGTATAACTCTACCCATTTGAAGAACAGTTCACTGATTTGTAGTCTATTCAGAGGATTGTACAACTATTGCCACAGTCAATTTTAGAATAATTTCACTATCTCAAAAAGAGTTCCTGGGGTTGTGTTGTAGAGCACTTGCATAGCATGCTTGAGGCACTGGGATTGATCCTCAGCACCACATAAAAATAAAATATTGTGTCCACTTATAACTAAAAAATAAATAAATAAAAAAAGTCCCTAGTACCCAATAGCAGTTAGTCTTCATTTTTCTAACCCTTCTGGTCAACCACTAATTCTAATTTGTCTATTTTCTGTGTATTTAATATATTCTCACAATATGTGGTCTTTTGTGATTGGCTTCTTTCACTTAGCATGGTGTCTTAAAAGTTTGCCTTGTTTTTAGCACGTATGAGTCTTACATTTTTATTGTAATCCAGTATATGTACATGTCACATTCTGTTTATCCTTTGTTGATAATCATTCAGGCTTTTTTCTTACTGGCTGTTACAAATAATGTTTTGAATGTTGGTGTTCAAGTTTTGGTGTGACCCGTGTTTGAATATCTCTTGGGTTGGATGTAAATCTAAGGGTAGAATTAGTAAGTCACATGGTGATTCTGTTTAACCTATTGAGGAACTACCAGATTTTTCCAATGAGGTTGCATCATTTTATATTCACAATATTTTATATTTCACACCAGAAAGGTGTAAGGGTTCAGATTTCTCCATTTTCTTACCAACCCTTGTTATTGTCAGTCTGTCTGATTCTAGCCCGTACTAATAGGTGTCCTTGTGGTTTTCATTTGTATTTCATTGATAGCTAAGTTGTTGAGTATCTTTTCATGTACTTATTGGCCATTTCTTTATGATCCTTGGAGAAATGGCTATTCAGAATCTTTACTCATTTTTATTTTTTATTTTTATTTTTTTTTTAATATTTATTTATTTTTTAGTTCTTGGCGGACACAACATCTTTGTATGTGGTGCTGAGGATCGAACCTGGGCCGCATGCATGCCAGGCGAGCGCTCTACCGCTTGAGCCACATCTCCAGCCCCTCTTTACTCATTTTTAAATTTGACTTTTTTTGAAGTTGAACCCTGGACCTCACTCATGCTACACAAGAACTTTGCCACTGAACTACATCCCCAGCCCAAATTGGACTTCTAAAAATTCTTATATATTTGGATGTGTCTCTTATATCCACATGTAAATATTATCTCATTTTGTTATTCTTTTTCCATTTTCTTTTTTGTGTCTTTTGCATAATAGCTTTTGTTTTTGTTTTGTGGTACTGGGGATTAAACCTGGGGCCTTGTGCATGCTAGGCAAGTGCTCTGCCATAAGGCTACATCCTCAAGCCCAAATTTTCAGTTTTAATGAGGTTTAATTTATTCAGTTTTTTTTTTCTGTTGCTTGTGCTTTTGATGTTATATCTGAGAATGTTTGCCTAACTCAAGGTCACAAAAACTTCTGTGTTTTCAGAGTTGTATAATTAACTCTTACAATTAGGGCTGTGATCCATTTTGAATTAATGATGTAAAGAAAGGATTCAAAATTCTTTGCATATAACTATCCAGTTTTCATAGTATTTATTGAAAGTACTGTTTCTTCATTAAATGTTATTCATGAATTGTCAAAAAAAAGAATTTATCCTATGATCTGGGGATATAGATCAGTGGTATAGTTTGCCAAGAAGGCACAAGGCCCTTACTTCCATCCCTAGCACTGAAAAACAAACAAACAAACCTTGTAGATGTGAACATTTATTTCTGGAGTCTTAGTTGATTTGGTTCATCTATATGTCTATCCTTATGCCACTACCACACTGCCTTGATTACTTTATCATTAATTTTATAGTAAGTTTTGAAATCATGAAGTGGGAGTACCAGACTTTATTTTTTAAGATTGTTTTGGCTAGATTCTGGGTTCCTCTCACATTACCATATGAGTTTTTAGGACCAGTCTATCAGTTTCTGCAAAAAATTCTGCTAGGATTTGGAAGAGTTGTGTTGAATTTGTAGATTGATCATTGGGAATTTTGTCATCTTTATAATGATAAGTCTTCCAGTCCACGAACATAGAATGTCTCCCCGTTTACATAAATTTCCTTCAGTGTTTTTTTTTTTTTTTAAAGTGTTTTGTAGTTTTCAGAGTCTCTCTAGATCAAATTTACAGGTGAGGTTGAGAACCCTGCTGTTCAGTAACAATGAATCATCCTAATTACATTAGCATCTGAAATGTTACTCATCTGTTTTCTGTTTTCTTTTTTTTCCTCCTTACACCATCTTAGGAATTCCCATTCTTTTACCTGAATGAGTCATTCTTTTAGGATTAGACTTTCTCCAGTAACTGTCTATCTTTATTTTGAAGACTGAATGTTTTCTCTGCAAATAAAGTATTTCTGAATGTTTGTTGCTGCCATTCAGACCTAGCTCTGGAATTGGTACTCCTGTCTTACCACATTCCCATCCCTCTATTTGAAACCTATATTCTTTGAAAAAGGATGTCCCTGTCAGATGGGTAACTGAAAGGTGAGCCTCTATTACCCTTTAGTAGATATCCAGGACAGAGACTTGGTACCTGCCTCAACCTCAAGTACTTCCCAGTCCAGCACACCACTTAATATAGTTATCAGATACAGAAAGAACCATCCAGAATAGGAAGTTTTCTGTCACAAGGCCCTTTCTATTACGTATATGAGACTCTGAAAACAGGAATCTGTCAGACCTAAGGAACCTTTAATTCAAGGCTCAAATTTATGGTTTGATTAGATTCAAGTCTTTTTTGGTACTGGGAACTGAACCCAGGGGCGTTTAAATACTGAACCACATCCCCAGCCCTTTATATTTTTTTATTTTGAGACAGGGTCTCGCTGAGTTGCTTAGGGCCTTCCTAAATTGCTGAGGCTAGCTTTGAACTCTCAATCTTCCTGTCTCAACTTCTTGAGTAGCTGGGATTATAGGCGTGTGCCACTGCGCTTGGCAGGATCCATGTCTTGATCATTTATGGTTATACAGATCCTCTATGCACTAAAATTTTTTACATTCTGTGTAAAAATATTTGCCAAACATGTGTTATGAACAGGATTGTAAGCACTTTTGAGATTAGCATTTTCCAGCCCTTTAGAAGTATATTTGTAATTCCTTTTACTGGCCATCCTCAAAACTGTCTATAAAAACACATTCCTGGGGCTGGGGCTCAGTGGTGGAGCGCTTGCCTAGCATGTGCGAGGTGCTGGGTTCCATCCTCAGCACCACATAAAAATAAATAAATAAAGGTATTGTGTCCGACTACAACTAAAAAGAAATTAAAAACAACAACAAAAAAAACCATTCCCTACATGGGCAATCTTTAGAACTAGTTTTCTATAGCTCTAAACTAGGGTGATGAGAATACCTAGCTTTAAGCCATTTTGTCCATTGTCCCAGAGGTGAACACCTATAAAAATTTAAATATAAATATAATTAATCATATTAATTAATATGAAGCATAAGAACTATAATATAATAATGTTAATGTATAAATTGTAATTAATTTTAATCTAATTAATTAATGTAATAATATGTATCAGCTTTAGATTATGATTTCCAACTTATTTCAATGCACCTGTGTCAATTTTGTTAAAACTGTCACTGAATTGAAAGCTTGGGACTGAATGGGTTAAAGTACATTCTGAGGATTTTGTCAAGTAGTGCATGTGCATGCTTTACCAGCCTTAGCCTAGTGGGTGTGGGTTAGTTTTGCTTCAGCATTGTGTCCATTAAGCCATAACTATTTAGTAGGTCCTAGGGTAGATAAGGATTTTAACTTGTAGAGGGCAGATTGTAATTAATTAAGCAATAAAAATTAATTTGCAATGTCTTCAAATCCCTTTTTAGGCCATTGCCATTGTGCTAGGATTCATGATCATTGTGGCTTTTGCTTTAATAATTTTCTTTGCTGTGAAAACTCGAAGAAAGATGGACCGGTATGACAAGTCCAATATTTTGTGGGACAAAGAACACATTTATGAGGAACAGCCACCCAATGTGGAAGAATGGGTAAGTGTAAAGGAAAAAAACAAAACAAAACAAAACTTTGAATCTTTTATTAACCCCCAGGTTTCTGACTCTAAATTTTGGGTATTTGGTTAAACTGTGTGCTTAGAATTGTTGTCTGTGTATATTGCAAAAGTTGTTGCTTTCCATTTTACTCAGAACTGTGAAAGGATGGGATAAATGGAAACTGTTTTGCTAGAAGGTAAAAATCAGGTTTCCAGCTGGGTGCAGTGGCCCATGTTTGTAATCCCAGCAGCTCTGCAGGCTAAGATAGGATCTCTCAAAGCCAGCCTCAGCAACATTGAGACACTAAGCAACTCAGTGAGACCCTGTCTTTAATAAAATACAAAATTGGTCTGGGAATGGGCTCAGTGGTTGAGTACCCCTGAGTTCAATCCCTGGTACCCCACTTCCCCCGTCTCCCCCCAAAAGTTTTCATTTTCAAGGAACAGGTCTAGTATCTGAAAAGAAGTGACTTCTAAAGAAATCATGTAGAAAGAGCTTGATCTTTGCAAAAGAAAAACAATGTCTTCCTCCTACCCCCTTTTTGTTTCTCTGCTTATCATTTTGAAGGAAATAATATCACCCTGGGTGCTGTCTTGGGTCAAGATTGGCAAGGGTGTTTTGGAATATTAGCAGTTGGCTACTACCACACCTGGGGTGGAACCCCAGGGCCTCGCACATGCCAGGCAAGTGCCCCACTACTGAGCTGCATCTCCAGTCCAGTTGGGAGGATTTTAAACTTTCTACATGAATAGAAGCATGACAAACCACAGTGACTAATTCTATACTGATAGTTATCTATGAAATACTTCAGTCCACAAAGAGAGATTAAAGACTTGTTTTTTGTTTTATTTTGTTTGGAGATTGAACCCAGGCCTTGAACATCTAGGCAAGTGAACTACCACTGAGCTGTACTGCTGGCCCTGTTTTTTTTTTTTTTCTTTCTTTTAGTTTTACTGGTGAATTATACCATTTATTTAATTAAAAATTAACAGTTATTCGTAAACTCTTCCAAAGTGGAAAGAAGGTAACACTTTATACTTCATTCTGTGAAGTCACTGTTACCCATAGCCAGATTAAGGCAGTATAAGAAATTATATACCAGTTCAGTCCTAATAGATACAGATGCAAACATTCCTGACAAAATCTTTGCAAATTAGAAAGGGTTTATATAACATGCTGCCAGCCCTATTTTAAAATTTTATTTTCAGACAGGGGCTTGCTAAGTTGTCCAGTCTGACCTGGAACTTGACGTTCTCTGGTGTAGGTGGTATTTCAGGCATGTCCTACTGGTGTTCTAGTTTTAGTATATACTAGTAATCTTATCAGCTTTACTGAAAATCCAGAAAGTCCCTTGGTCCAAAAATATCTGCCAAATGGGTAACTGAACTATTTAATGAAGGTGCCTAAACAAAATAAAACAAAAAGCAAAAAATAAAGCAAAAAACAGGAAAGCCAGATGAGTGTGGCATGTGTTTGCCACCTGGATGAAGGTCACTGTGTCCAGGAAAGCCCTCCTTCATTCCCCCTTTAAGGGTGAAGTGTGAGGATGAGTTTTTTTGCCATCTTTTGTTTCAGACAAGGCCATCTATAGATGGAATAGGACAGTCTGATGTGAACTATGAAGTAAGTGTTTCACTCAGAGTTTCTGGGTGTGTCTATTTTCACTGGCTGTTGTATTTGTTTACTTAAGGTTTCGAGAGAGACCAAAAAAAAAAAAAAAAAAAAAGAAAAAAATCCCAACTCAAGGGAGACCAGTGCCAGTAATGTTAGAGTCCCAGTGAACTTTGTCCTCTCACCTGAGCTTACTGTCATGAAACATTAATTAGTTCTATCTGCTTTTGATAATGTGGCAAAAGATAGCCTTAGTAACTCATGGCGATGATGACAAACTGAAGAAAATGACTCTTAAAAAGGCATTATTTTTGGGCTGGGGTTGTGGCTCAGCAGTAGAGCAGTTGCCTAGCATGTGTGAGAAACTGAGTTCGATCCTCAACACCACATAAAAATAAATAAGTAAATAAATAAAATAAAGGTAGTATGTCCAACTACAACTAAAAAAATTTTTTTTTAAAAAAGGCATTATTTTCAAGCTGGGAATGGTTAGCATACCTGTAATCCCATGACTCTGGAGGCTGAGACAGGAGGATTGCAGTTTGAGGTGAGCATGCAGCATTTTAGAGAGACCTGGTCTTGGGAGTAGGGGGTGTGGAAGGACTCAGGTATGTAGCTCAGTGGTAGAGCACCTCTGGGTTAATTCCTGGTGCCACACAAGAAAGAAAGAAAGATAGCAAGAGAGAGGTGGCAGGAGGGAGGGAGGGAGGAAGGAAGGGAAGAAGGAAGGAAGGAAATTATTTTTGAGGAGATAGTGTTTTTATTTTTAATTTAATCTAGTTATTTGTGTGTGTGTGTGTGGCACTGAGGATGGAACCTAGTACTTCACACATGCTAGGCAAGTGTTCTACCACTGATCCACAACCCCAGCCTGAGATAATGTTGACCTTGATTTAAACAGTGTCCTTGTAGTGAAATATCACATATAGTACTCAATAAATATGGATGATTTTTTTATGTATTACTTAAAATTTAACTTTTGAAAACAGCATCATTTTTTTTTTTTCCTTTTTTGGTACCAGGGATTGAAATCAAGGCACTGAACCACTAAGTAACATCCCTAGCCCTTTTAAGATTTTTTTATTTTTAGACAGGATCTCTCACTGAGTTGCTTAGGGCTTTGCTAAGTTGCTGAGACTGGCCTTGAACTTGTGGTCCTCCTGCTTCAGCCTCCCTAGTTGCTGGGATTTCAGGTGTGCACCACCATGCCTGGCTAAGGCATCATTTTTATACAACTTCCTCTGAATTCCTGGAAATTTGATAGCTTATGAGTTGTTTCTTGAAAGTTTCATTGTTCTGTCTGTAACATTTTTTTTTAAACATTTATTTTTTAGTTGTAGTTGGACATAATACCTTTATTTTACTTATTTATTTTTATGTGGAGCTGAGGATCAAACCTAGGGCCTCACACATGCTAGGTGAGTGCTTTACTGCTGAGCTACAACCTCAGTCCTGTAACATGTTTTTCATTTCTTGAAACTTAATAACCTGTTGAAGAACAGATATATGACTTCCCAAATTTATGTTTTTTGTGATAACCTAATATTAGGCAGATTCTTTATTTTTTTCCCTCTTCTTTCAGTTTGCCTTTAGAAACTCTATTTGAAATAAGCGACTTGGAGATGGTTGTAGCCATCTCTTCTCCCCTTGGCTGCCGAGTTCTTGTTGCTGAACTCAATATCAAGTTCCCCTTCTTTAATTTCAGCATCACAGGAGGCCCATTATTTTTTCTTTTTTTTTTACACTACCCCCCCCACCGCCATTATTCTTAATTTCTCTGTTTTTCTACACCTTTCTGCTGAACTTGGTTTTACTGTGGTCATGGGCTGTCCCACTGCAAAAGTAACCCTATATCTGAAATCTATGTGGAGTGCATCAGTGATTTTCTTCTATTTAGAAATTAGTATCATCAAAATAATCTAGAATTTCCGGGTGTGATGGTGCATGCCTGTCATCCCAGCAACTCAGGAAGCTGAGGCAGGAAGATCACAAGTTCAAGGCCAACCTTAGCAACTTAGAGAGGCCCCAAGAACTTAGCAAGATCCTGTCTCAAAAAATAAAAAGGGCTGGTGATGTGGCTTACTGGTTAAGTGCCCCTGGGTTCAATCCCTGGTATCCCCCTACCCCCAACCAAAAACAAAAAAATCTAGAATTAACCTCTTATGCTGTGTACAGAGTAAAACTTTGGTTCTAGGCATGTGTGAGGTCCCGAGTACAGTTCCCAGAATACCCCACCCACCTTACACCATGCACACACACACACAAATAGTAGAATGCTAAGGCAAGAGACTCTGCACATAGTTAATCATGGTTGATTGTTGAGGGAGAAGAAAGAATTAATGGAGAGCTGGGCACAGCAGTGCACACCTGTAATCCCAGTGACTAGGGAGGCTGAGGCAGAGGATTGCAAGTTTGAAGCCAGCTTTAGCAATTTAGCAAGGCCCTCTCTCAAAATAAAAAGGATTTAACTTGGGCTGGGGATATAGCTCAGCTGGTGGAGTGCTAGCTTTGCATGCACAAGGCCCTGGGTTCAATCCCCAGCACCACCCCCAAAAATTTAACTCAGTGGTAAAGTTTAGTCCCCAATACCAAAACAAAAAGAAAAGCTAAAGTAACAAGGAGCTTCTCAGTGTTCGTTTACTCTCTCCTTACAAGTTGGGATAGGTCCAGAAATGTACTACCATATTAAATATTGCCTTTCTTCCTGGACTTTTAATGGCTTTAAGATCACCTCTCCTTCCCCAGCAAAGACATGTCAAAAGCTGAGATTTCAGAGTTTTAAACAGGATTTAGCCCTTTTGTAATATCTGAGAAAACTTGGAATTTCCTTATTTCCTGCCCCAGTGTGCATAACACAATGGTTTCTCTGCAGGGATTATTAGTTGTTTTCCCCCACTCCCCTTTTTGGGTACTTTGTTTTTGTATAAACAGGCCATGTTTGCACACTGTTTGTTAACCTGGTCTTTTATAGGCACTCATAAATGCCTACCAATTCAGTTGTCTTTTAAATCTTCTAAGGTTCTTTTAAAATTATGAATCTTTATTTTTTGTTATGTCCTTAAACCCCAGATCTATTTATTTTCCCCAGATTTAAAAAAATGTGCTTTAGGGGCTGGAGGTGTAGTTCAGTTGTAGAGCTCTGGCTAAGCATGTGTGAAGACCTGGGTTCGATCCCCAATTCCAATAAATATGATTGTAAGTATGGAGGGTTTTTTTGTTTTGTTTTTGTTGCTGGGGATTGAACCCAGGGCTTCATACATACGAGGCAAGTACTTTACCACTAAGCCACATCCTAGCCCCTAAAATACACAGAATAAAATTATAAATAAGGGACTAGGGATGTAACTCATTGGTAGAGTGCTTGCCCAGCATGTGTGATTCAATCC